AACAACCCAAATCATGATACACACAAATACTTTCTATAGACATTTAAATTTAAGCCCGTCCATTTGGAAAGAACCACCATTACCTGTAGCACAATTCTCTCCATGACACATCCTCTTCTGAGGATTGTTCCAGGAATAGAATTTGTATGGGATGAAGTCCAAAGATACAGAAGTTTAGTTCCACACATTAAAAGCCTTCATGAATAAAAAGAATACTGTGAGTTTCATTTAAAAAACACCAAACTTGGGCTGGGTGTGGTGGCACAGGCCTTTAGTCCCAGCACTTGGGAGGCAGAGGCAGGCAGATCTCTGTGAGTTCCAGGCCATCTGGGGCCACAGGGAGACCCTGTCTCAAAAGACCAATACAAAACAAAACAAAACAACAAAAAATCCCACCAAACTCAGAGTAATCAACCTGAAATGTTAGCAAAATGAATATAATCTTTAAGAACACACTGGAAGGAGTCTGTCCTCATACTATACCAGGTAGGGTACAGTATTAAATGCAGGGTGGGAACAAAGAAAGGGAGAATCAAGTGACTAGTCAGGGAAGCATGTACGGAGGATAGAACACATTATAAAACACCCTCTGTAACAGGAAGCAGGAGGATAGACTTTCAAGACATTCTCCAGAGGCAACACACCTCAAGGTCATGGTTCAGATCACTGAACTGCTTCTATCATTAACAGGCCAATACAATCAGCAACCACTTTGCATCAAAGCACAAATTATTTGAGATTATTTGAGATAATTTCTATCCGAGCATTTTTTGGTAATTTCTTCTCTAAAGAGCTAGAGAATACTTGGAAGCAGGAGGGTAGTACATGCTTGTAATCTCAGCATTCAGGAGGCTGAGCAAGAGAACCTTGAGTCTGAGGCTGCCCTGCGCTAAAAACTGACATCCTACCTCAAAAAAAAAAATTTAAAAGGCTGGGTGTGAGGGCTGAAGAGATGGCTCGGTGGTTAAGAGCATTGCTATTCTTCCAGAGGATCTGAGTTTGGTTCCTAGCACCCACATGGCAGCTAACAACTGTTCTTAACACCCCCTCTAGCCTGCACGTAGGTAAGTTCACCCATGTCAGAAGAGGCTGTTGGATCCCCTGGGACTAGAGTTATGGACAGTTGTTAGCTGCCATGTGGGTGCTGGGATTCGAACCTGGGTCTTCTGCAAGAACAACCAGTGTTCTTAACCGCCAGCCATCTCTCCAGCCCTAATTTTCAGTATTTTTGAGACAGGTTTCCCTGTAGCCCTAGCTGGCCTGGAAGTCGTTATGTAGCCAGGCTACCCTCAAACTAATAGATCTGCCTGCTTCTGCCTCCTGAGTGCTAGGATTAAAGGCGTGGAAGGAAAGAACTGACTACACAGCACACACATGTGGCATACACATACACAGACACACAAAAAATAAAATTAAAAAACTAAACTAAGGGCTGGAGAGCTGGCTCAGCAATTAAGAGCACTGGCTGTTCTAGCACAGGACCTGGGTTTGATTCCCAGCACCCACCTGGTGGCTAACAATTGTCCTTAACTCCAATTCCAAGGGATCTGACACTTCTGACCTCAGGAATTGCATGACATGGGCACACTTACTCACATGCACGAAATACACTCATACATATAAAATAAAAATTAAAAAAAATTTTTTTGAGACAGGGTCTTCCTGTAGCCCCAGCAGGCCTGGAAGTCACTATGTAGACTAGACTGGTCTAGAACTCACAGAGATCCTCCTGCCTCTGCCTCCCAAGTGCTGGGATTAAAGGCGTGCGCCACCACGCCTGGTGTAAATAAAATTATTTTAAAAAGCCCCAAAAAACCCCAAAAAAACCCTAAAGAAAAGGCACAATGTCTAGTCCCAGAACTTGGGAGGCAGAGGCAGGTGGATCTCTGTGAGCTCCAAGCCAGCCTGGTCTACATAGTGAGTTCTAGGCCAGCTGGGGTTACAGAGATACCCTGTTTCAAAAAAAAGAACTAAAGAAAAAACCCCAGTCTATTTTGGGTTGACATTATTTTAAGGCAAATCTTCATTGTATTGTTTCATCTGTAAATCCTGTTATATGTTTTAAAAAAATGAAAACAATTTCACAGCTGGGGAGATAGCGCAGTTGGCAAGTGCTTATCCAGCAAGCACGGAAACCTGAGTCTGATCCCCAGAACCTGTGTAAAGAAGCCAAATACTGTGGTGCACACTTGTAATCATAGGTGGAGATGGGAGGACCCTGGAGCTCACTGGCTGGCCAGCTTAGTATACACTGTGAGTCCCAGGTCAATGAGCGACCTCTGTGCCTCAGAAATAAGGTAGATGGTGTTCCTGAGGACTGGTTGTCCTTAGGCCAACTGGTTGTCCTTAGGCCTCCCACTTTCACGTACTAGGCTTCTGCCCACACATGATACCTTTAGATCTCTTAGACCAGGGGCCCTTATCACAATAAGGGACTGATTAGTAAGGTAAAGAGAGTGAGGAGAATCTGCAGAGTTTCTGAAACTGGAGAAAGCTGAGAAAAGGGTGACGTTCTTTAGCATCAACAGAACTGGCAGAGCCACGGCATCCTATTAACACAGCACTCTACATAAATGTCGGTCATTGGCTGCTGCTCTGCTCCGAGAACAGTGAGCCAAGGAGCCCTCTGTACACCCACTAGACACATCCAGAACACAGTTGAATCACTTCTTTGCTCTGCTTTGATTTTATCACACTGGAAAAAGCTGAAATAGCTCAAAGCTCACCCTATGAGCCTGTTTGAGATGTACAGAAGAACTCATGATCACAACTCAGTAATACTCACCGTTTAAAGTCAAAAAGAGGTAAAGAAACTTTGCCCAAAGCCTCTGGTCCCTTTCTTTGCTTATTAGAATCAGGGGAGCTTCCACTGCTCTGATTTAAAATTCCAAACAGAGTAAGATGAAGAAGTGATTCTAATGGCAACTGTGATATCTGGATAGGAAAAATGATTCTATGGGGCAGAAAAAATAATATTAGTAGAAATAATAGATTAAATACCAGTCTTAGTGACCTTTTAAAGAACTGATTATTTTATTATTATTTTATGTGTATGTGTGTATTGCCTGCATGTAGGTAAGTGCACCCATGTTGTACAATGCCCTCGGAGGACAGAAGAGCCTGTTAGATCCCCTGCAACTGGAGTTACAGAGTTAGCTGCCATGTGGTACTGGGATTCGAACTTGGGTCTTCTGCAAGAACAGTCAGTGTTCTTAACCACTGAGCCATCTTTCCAGCCCCAAGAACCGATTCTTTTATAGGTATTTTGGTTTATATTCTTTTTTTTTTTTTTTTTTTCCGGTCCCCTTTTTTTTTTTTTTGAGACAGGGTCTCCCTGTAGCCCCAGCTGTCCGGAACTCACTATGTAGACCAGGCTGGCCTGGAACTCACAGAGATCCCCCTGCCTCTGCCTCCTGAGTGCTGGGATTAAAGGCATGTGCCACCATGCCTGGCATATAATCTTTAATCCTGAGTAACTTTTAGGTAAAATAGCAAGCTTGGTTAACTACTGTTAAGCCTTAATAAAACAAATTTCAGTATTAGTATGAAACTTCAAAAATATCTTTCCATTAAATTGTGTTATTGTGGTACCAGGAGTGGTTCTAGAGAAACAGAAAGGATGAATTTCTTTAATGGGCTTGTTGGTATTTAGAGTAGGCTCTCCAACTCGAGTCTTCAGATAGCACGGAGAACACTGAAAATCCGTGGTGTAGACTATTTGAAACAATTATGGAGATAGACCCATTTGAATCGCCTAACTCACCTCTTGTGAAGAGCAAGAAATTTAGTGACCCTATACATAAAACATTTGACAATTTGTGGAAAAATAAGAAAAATAATGATGCTGGCTGGTTACTTCTAGCATCTCTGGATAAAGTGATGAAGATAAACAATGAGCTTAATGACAAAATTGACAAGCTCCATATTCAAATCAACACTTTAAAAGGTTTCCAAGTGTGCCCTGGAAGAGAATCTTCTCTCCAGCAGCCAGAGAGCTAAAGCTGCAGAAAATCAAGCTGGAGCCCTTATTATACGTTTGGCTGACCTACAACGCAAATTTAATTCCCAGCCTTGAAGGGTGTCAGCAATAAAGGTGAGGGCATTGGTAGGAAAAGATGTGTGGAGAGAACCCTGAGGAGGTCGAGGGTTTAGAATCCTTAGATGCTGAGGAATTTGATTCACCTGATGAATGAATCTCCCCACCCTCAGCAGACCCACCTTCCCTACTCTTGCCTGAGGCAACTAATTCCATTGAGGAAGCTAATCCCATTCAGTAAGAGGAAGCTGATGTCCCTCAGGGTCCAGTTATTGTTGCCTCTAGACCTATAACCAGACTCAAAGCTAAGCAGGCCCCTAGAGGAGAGATAGACAGTGTGGTCCATGAGGTGCGCTACACCACTAAAGAACTTAGTGAATTTGCTAATTCTTTTAAGCAGAAGTCTAATGAATATGTCTGGGAATGGATTGACTGGAGAGTCTAGGTTTAATATGGAAGCTCGTGCAGTTAAAAAGGGTGTTAAAAGTTTATTCGATTGGTTGGCTGAGGTATTTATCAAAAGATGGCCTACTGACAGAGAGCTGGAGATACCTGATATCCCTTGGTTTAGTGTTGATGAAGGGATTGCGAGGCTCAGGCAAATTGGTATGCTCGAGTGGATTCGCAGTACAACACCAAATCCTCCACAATGGGAGGGCCCAGAGGACATGCCTTTTACTGATTTTATAAGATGGAAAGTACTGAGAGAGACACCAGAACGTTTGAAGAGCTTTGTTTTTGCTCGTTTAGATGCTGCTGCTCAACTGCATAAATTAAATGTAAATATAATAGGTGTAACAGGACC